TACATATGTGTAGCTCAGTGTAACACGAAATTATCTATACTAATATATAAAACTACAGTGGTTTTTACGGATGTTCCGTTATAACTACTGAACTATGCATACGATTGACTTGAAACTTGGTATCCATGTAGAAAATACATGTACTTAATGGATAGGCTAATATTTATGAGTGTTGGACTCCCTACATCAGTTGCGGGGGCGTTAATTATGAGAATCTTTGTGGGGGTGAGAGATAATAATGTTAATTTTAAATGTCCAGCGAAGCGGACGGGTACAGCTAGTAATTTAATATATCCACGTTCGAATCATAATTCGAATTAATGTACGTGTCAATCACAGTTCATGCCTATATTAAGAATTCATTGTCCGATGCGCAAGAGAGTATGTACGAAACGCTCACTTTCTATCGTGTATTAATTGTTATGTGTGCCCACGGACCACGGTCACACGCAATTTTACGTGCTCGAATATACGAGTAGTTGATCAATAATGACGTTCGTCTCATCGAAATTAATAGATCCAATAAAAAGGAACACGCTTTATTTGAAACAGAGACGATATCATTTGTCTTGACTTCATACTTTGAATATGATTTTAGACGTTAACGAAAAATGGGCAATTTGACCATTTCATTATTTCTGACTTTTCGATTACGTAACTATTGTCGAGGTTACACATGACTAATGTTCTATTAGTCGTCATATAAAATATCACAATATATTAGTAAAGAACATATTTTAGCATTAATTAGAGACTCCTTCTCCATCTTCAAACGAGGCTTAGCTTTAGGCAGCGGCTTGTCTTTGCCCCTGTCATTGCTGAAGTCCATGGGCGACAGTAAGCTAACCGGTACCGGACGGTAATGCTAGTGTCTGCCTACAAGGGCAATAAAAAAAACAATCGCAATTTTTTTATTATTATTTCCCAATTTATGACGAAAGAAGATTGTATGAACAAAAAATCATTTGTTTACTTGGGTTCTTAATACCTCAAAGGCTTGTACGAGTATTAGATAAGTAACAGTTTAGTTCTCATTACATTTTCATCATAGTAAAAAGACAAACGTGTGTATATAAAGTAAAGCTTTTGCTCGCGTAAAATCTAAAGAATCCCGCCAAAACTATCGTGAATCACGTGTATATTGTGAAGGGTTTTTGTATTAGTAGATGTAGAGTACACCTACAAATAAAATTAATATCAATTAGTGCTATACTATAAACATTGATTGTATGCTAATCATTTCAAAATATTGATTATAAAAAAAACTTTAAAAAATGCATACCTATGCAAAGGACTGCAAATAACAAGCATATTATTATACAAGAAATACCTCGACCAACATTGACATTAATAAGACAATATTCTTTAAAATGCTACATCCTGGTAAAGCAAAATAATCGTTAAGAATTTAATATAATTATTTTTGTACGAAATTGGCTGAGTAAGTATTCTTCCGGTCACTGAAATCCTGAAAGGTCACGGTGTGATGACCTATCAAGGTTTCAATGTGGGCCATAGGTCATTCAATGCGACTTTAATATAACGTATATTGCTATAGAAAATACTCATGATTGAATTTTTTTTTGATTTTTGCAATTTATATTATCACATTTTTTTTGAGATTTTAATATAAATAATTGTAGTATGTTGTGATAACTGCATACAACAAAAAATACATTACTCATTATATTAACAATCATCAAAGAACCTAGAAATTTGACATTGCTAGTTGCTAATTTGTTTTACTTAAATGGAAGAGTACGTCAATTGCATGGAATTTCCAAGTTTTCCAATTCAAATTGGTTTCACACGAAGACAAATTTTTTTTTTAAGAACTACGATTTTCGCAGTGTTATATTATGCATATTATATATTATGTAGTATTAGTATTATATCCAGTGCTAATAAACGGATTCTGATTCATGAATTCTTAGGATGTCCGAAAGCAACTATATTACGGGCATAAGTGAAAATGTATCTTATATGATAAAATAAATGCATGATTATTCTAAGATCAGATTCCGGACTGAGAGTTTGCACATAATTGAAACAATTTTGATTTTAATAACACGTTAGATTCAGATTTTTTTCTTATTAATTAATTTATTAATGAGTTTTACGACACTTACACGTGATACACCTCATACCCAGATACTCCATTTCTAAAGTTTTAATATAACAATACTATGAACTTGACACAAGACTTGACTATGAGAAACATGACTATGAAGGTAAACATCGACTGAACATTATGTAAATGGTTTACAAATGTGTTTAACAAATCAAGAAAGCGATTTAAAAATTACTTATTATACTGTACGTAATGTTTGATATGGCGATATAAAGGATATGCGAATATATAAATTTTAAATATATGACAAAAGAAAATAACTTGGGTTATAAAAGAATAATTATTTTTAATAAATTTAAGCTAAATAGTTTTAGTAAACATCGGGAACTGTACGGTTAACCATGAAGATGTTCTGTACTGAAGGGTCGTGAAATTGCGTTATCCTGATAGCATGATCCGAGTGCAGAATGCTATATCTCGTCGGTCTAGATGGATTGCAACCGACGACCCCTCGGCCTCTTGTTGGTGCAGGTGTTTTCCTAGTGTGGTTGTTCTGGGGAGTAACTACATCGGATCAGTGTTGACACCACTGATTCGAGTTGGATGTTCGGACGTGACTTATTGAGTGACACTGGATCTTAGTTTGTCCATCTCCGGCATGCTACACTAAACCCCGCTAATCCAAATAAAAATAATCATGCAGCTCACTACACATTATACAGTATCCTGATGTGATGTTTATGGACTAGCCGCTAGGGAAACCACTTACTACCTCAGATCGTCCGAGTTCGTCTGCATTGTCCTTTCGTTTAAATAAAACTACTTACTTAAACCATATCGTGTGATGTGGCTCTAGACCAGTAAGCTTAAGATGATGTCAAAATAAATCGTCATGAAAATTATAAATAAACTAGCTGTACTCGCCCGTTTCGCTGCGCATTTAAAATGAACATTATTATTTATTGCCATTATTATTAGGGAGTCCAACACTCATATAAATATTAGCATATCTATTAAGTACATGTATTTTCTACATGGATACCAAGTTTCAAGTCAATCGGATGCATGATTCAGTAGTTATAACGGAACATCCGTAAAAACCACTGTAGATTTATATATTAGTATAGATAAGTAAACTTACTGGAAATCGAATCTTAAAAATTATGGGCCATGCTACGATTTTGATTTTTATAAATTTTTGTTGAAGTGCTGTAATAACGATGGGTATATATTTCGACGAAGATAATTGGATATGGTACGTTGGTTGTTACATTTTACATAACTAGATGAAAGTAACGAGGTATCAAATGTGTTTCGCGTTATTTCAATACGTAATGAGATTATAACTCTGTTAATACGTTTCCTCTGGCCTTGAATAACAATACTAAAATTCAATTAAGGACCAATAAAAAATTTCATTTATTGTATGAATCATAATGTTATGTAACGTGATTCTGCTCTGTTAATTGATACTAGAGGTCCCGCATTAGTCGAAATTCGACTATAATTAATTGGAATTGTAAGTTTTCTGTAATCACAAATTTCGCCAAGGCTATACTATAAAAAAATATGAATAGAGACAAACAATATTTAATCTATTCTCAATTTGACCACAGACGTCAAGAACAAAATTTTGACAATAAATAGTGTGTACGTCAAATACATGGTATGTAGTGTGTGTAATCTTTTCTTTATTGATTTAATGTATCTTTTAACATTATTTTAAAAAAATATTAGCATTGTGCACTTCTTCTCTATATTCTCTATAAGTGTGGAAAATTTCATACTCCTCCGTCCGCGCAATTTTCGTAAAAAGGGATACAAAGTTTTTGCTTCCCGTATTAATATATAGATGATTAGTTAAACTAAAGCGTCGTATTCATAGTGCGATATTTGAGCATCGTTCGTAGTCGGTACGTGCGAAGGTGTTGCAACTGGCCGGTCTGGGCCCATCAGGCGAACTGCACTCGCCTGCAATTGCATAAACACAGTTGCGGAATAGCGGATCGCGGTCACTGCCGTCATACCGCTGTATAGTTAAGGGCGAGCGCCGCACCCACTGCTGGTCAATCCCTTATCACTATTGATAAACGATTCGATAACAAACACGCTCTTTAAGGGAATTTCGCAATTGTTTTTCCATGTGATGATTTGTCGGAACAAAAAAACCGTACAGATATACAAGTTTATTGTCCGAGCTCTTGACTTTTAATTGAATCGTTGATCGTATTCTTTTGGTCTCAGAAAAATAATACCTATGTGTCATTATGTTATTCTAAACGTTTATATCTAATAGATTTTACTGAATTCAGTTTATTCTTGTGTGATATCTTGTGGGATAATAACTGGTAGTTTGCGGGATACCTTGCCAGGTAATGTCATGGCAGTTAACCTATTTATCATAATGGAAAAATCAGTACACAAAAAGAAAGTTCAAAGATGTGTAAGTACCAACCAATCCCGCGGTTGATAGCGATTCTGTGGGACAGTGATTATACACATCAATGAAGACCTAATCTGTTACCGGCGTATGTGATTGGTGACTTTTTTTTTCTACCTATGCTGATAGCCTATTTCAGCTTCGCCCTAATATTTAGGTGAGCTCACGGGGCTAAAACCTGACGACGTTGCTAACACAAACCCTTGCAAGAGCCGTGCTTCGCAGAATCTACCACCGGATCGGAAACGCGACCCACTGAGAAGTTCCGGCGAGAAACTGTCTGTGGGTTAAATTGGGTTAAATCCGGCTGTGTCTGGGTTAAATTGGCGACGTTAATGCGTCAAGTCTATGGGTTCCTATTACAATTTAAAATGAAGAAGGGGGGATCGCGATCTTGCCTTTTTTTTTGAATAAAAACTTTTATATGTTTGCTAAGTATTACGCGTTCATAAGAAGCAAGAGTATATATTTTGTATTTGTTGATTACAGACTGTCACGACATGCGGTCCGACATGTGGAGCCGGCAGTTTACCGGTCCCCGGCGGCTTAGTGCGCCGCTTCGCCTCCAATTTACAGAGCACAAGCACCGGCTCTCTGCCGGATTACGGCACACAGATCATTGATCCATATCGCTTATTAGAAGATGACCTTAATGGAATATATGAGGATATTAGATCGGTAAGCAAAACTTTTTGATTTTAAACTAGCTGACCCGGCAGACTTCGTAGTGCCTCAATCGATAAATAAAAGGCCTAAACTTTTGTATAAAAGAAACTTGTAACAAACAAAAGAAATCCGTCCGACGGGGGACACATCAAAGGAAAAACAAAATTTTTATTTTCATTTAATTCCGAGCATTTTCATAGCTATCTACCTTTTAAGCCTTCTCTGGTCTTCTACCAATAACTCAAGACCAAAATTAGCCAAATCGGTTCAGCCGCCAGCAATTAATTTTTATATCATCATTATGTTTAAATTTTATGTCATGGTCATTAGTAATGACGACCATCGCTCATCTTTTAATTTTTGTCTGCATAGATCGTTAGTTATCTGAAGATTGTATATACTTCTATTGTATGGCATATCCAACGCAATCAAAATGTCAATCAGCGTTTACAATTCACATGTTTCGTCGCGAAGTAAAGTCGAATTTCTGTTTATAGATGGAACAAAATTTAAGGTCTTCACATACTCTAATATCGTTGTGTTATGTCTACAGGCTTCGGTAAACAATTAACGCCAGATAGATAGTGGATTAGTTAAAAAATGTCAGGATAAAAAGTTTTTTAAGAGTCTTCTTAAACTAAAAGAAAAAGGGTCTTCTGGATTTTGTCTGATTGAGTATCGTTCTGTTTAGATTTCTGAAATAACCCCACCAATATGAAAAGCTGGCTAAATAAAACTAAAATACTTTTAGAGAAAAATATGTATATGATTTCTGTAACTGTGGTATTGCCTAAATGGCACCGCGGCATATTATTTATATCGGAATCCCAAATATTGTGTCATAATGACCTTCTCACAAACAAAAAGATATTAGTAAATGTGCAAGTCATCTTCGTTTATGATGCTGTAATGAGTAAGGTTCTATTTCAAGGACATGACGCTTTAAGATTATTGTTTATAGGATTCGATATGACAACGATGATGTCGTCGACGGTGCATACTCACCGATATCGGGGCACTGAAACGTATGGAGCAACTGACATTATTTCAGGCTATCGGTCAGAAAATATAGCGGTATCGTATCGGTCAATGAAAACTGCTCAAATAGTTCAATTCATGTCAATACCAAGTTGATAATTTTTTACAAATATATGTAGGTGTACCTGCTACGGTAAAGATAAATTCAAAATTGCTATTTAATTATTCTTGCTCATTAAACCGACTGACTACAGTTAAAACGTTTCATTCATGTAGAGCTTACAAAAGTATATATTTTGTATAATGCTCATGGTATGTAATAAAATTTTATTTATTGTAAGTCCGCATCTAGATGATTTATCTACGTGCCATCTACGGTTCTCGCTTGTCTACTTTCTGTTTGGAAAACTAGTATAAAACTAGGCCCCTAGTCCAATGTGGTACTTACTCATTGGCTGTGTGTTTCCACACGCTTATTTCCTTGTAACACAGACTACGTTGTTAAAGTATTTTTGCAACATCGCTTGGCAAGCGTAAAAAATAACGTCACATTTCATAAAGACTAAGATAAAATCATGGAGTCTTTCATTACGATGTAATATAATTTACCAAAGTCACCTAAGGTTGCGACCACGATAAATATTGATTAAGTCATAATGGGAATTTGGATTTAACATCGCCCATGACCTAGTAGAGGAGGCACCCCGTGTAGTTGCTAGTATCGAGCATTGTCGGATTCGTATTGTCAGGCATTTCATTATTTTATCTAAGTAAACATTAAATATAAATTCACATTGTGGGGGAGGGAGTGGGGTTTGTTAAATTTCATTAGTAGACGAGGAGATATGATAGACAAGGACCCGGTTGTGATCAAACGGTGCAAGCGGAGCTCAATCGCCACATTACACGGCGGGCTCTACCGTTAACAAATGTGCCCTTTAGTACCCGGGAGACATTTAGAAACTGTATGATTGATATTTCCACACCATGTTTCAAGGCGGCAGTGGCATTTAATATGTGATGTTTACGAACTCTGCTGACCAATATACTCAAAATCAGGAGAGTCGTGGGTTGCCCATCTATGTGAAGATTAAAGAAAACCCACGTGATGTCATAGGAATAACCGTATATTCACAGACGATGTACATTACTTTTTAACAATATATTTGTGTAAGCATGTTGCATGCTAATTGTATTTAGCATTATATCAATAGTGGAAATGGGTATGACATTGCAGATCCGTTTCTTCAGATAATTAGCACATACATATGTACGTATGCAATTGTTCTTTTGAAATCAGCGGGCATTTGAAGGAATGTGATATTCAAAGTGTTTAAATGAATTTATATTCAAATAAATGGACCAAAATCTCTTCTTTGTTATGTACGTAATTAAAACTGGATAGAACAATATAGTGTATCGAAAGCAGAATTTTATTTTGAGGATGGCTTTATAGATAATCTTTCCGTTATAACTATGGGATTATGCTCGTCACGGGCCATCTTGATGCCAGTACTAATCTTTCCATCTGGATTTCTGTAGTCAACATGTACTGTCAGCTGTAGAATTCCTTGAGAATACCGTAATCCTGTGAACACATGAATAAGCTAAGGTAAACTAGATGTCGTTGGTGTTTTAATTGACTACATGCGTAGTAAATAACCATCTGACACCTGAACCTAGTTGTATTTTTACTTGATTACGTTTGTATCTAGATTGCGTCCATTACAGGTTTTGGGTAGAACTTTCGCAGTTTCAAACGAGTGAAGTCGAAGTTCATTTAAAATTTGTGATAAAATCGTTTAATTGATTTCTATCTATGACATCGTATAGACCAGCGGTAGCTTTAGCGGTCGGCAGCGACTCAACTGTACTTCTGGCATGCTGACGTCTGAATCGATTTAAGTCTGGCGTTCATTTATGTACCAAACACGTCATTACGGATCATCCTGATCCATTAACGGTGCTTTTAGGTACTACAAGCACCGGTCACCGTCCTCGTCGAACCCGTCGTTTGCGACGAAGGCTCGACGAGCGAGTTAACCCATAGACACAGCCCACTGAGTTTCGCGCCAGATCTTTTCAGTGGGTTGGGTTTCCGATCCGGTGGTAGATTCTGCGAACCACTGCTCTTGCTAGGGCCAGTGTTATCAACACTCCGGTTTGAGCCGCGTGAGCTCACCTACATGTTAGGACGAAGCTGAAATAGCCTCTCAAGGCTATTAGCATAGGTAGGAAAAAAAAGGTACCAAAATAAGCTTTGTCAAAAACATAACCTTGGAATATTAGTTACTGCACTGGCAGTTGTTTACAAATATGATCGAAAGATGATATTATAACATTTCACCTATTCGTGATACATCATGTTTACAAGTAAAGGCACTCCACGATTCTTTTAAAACCAAATTATTAAAATAATTGCAATATTTATTATAGCGTCCTGAAATCGCAATAACATGTATGTGGTGTAATCAAATTAAATTCACATAATTTATAAATTTGCGTAATTGCGAATAGCAAGAATCAAATTGAAGCCACAAGTCATAGGAAATCATCTTTGGTCTTCTATTTCATTAATATTATTGCCCAATTTCGACGAATATTGGTCAAACTTTCGATGACAATATGGACGAGCATCTTATCTATGTCGATTTAAGAATTCAATCATTGAGGCCTCATTCCCACGAGCGCTATTGCAATGTCCGTGAAGTAGCATTCCAACAGACCTCGGTTCCTTTATAGAAGTGAGTTCTTTTTTGTTTCATATTGAATCTTATTTATGGTTAAAGCGCACAGTCAAAAAAGTATACCGCTTAATATTTAGCTTTATACTATTTTCGTTGTCTAGACGTCAAAGTCTCCAATAAGTGCACGTATAAAATATGTTAGTTTGGCAACGACAATATTGCATTCCTACTTTTTTTAAATATATTTCTTATCAAAGAGTTAGTTAGCAATCGCATAGTATACCTATATTCCTTGGGTATTACTTAGACTTCTGAGTAATTATTTGATTCCGTGCAATCAATCTTACGCCTAGACGCTGCGTTTTTGAGCGCTCGTGGGAACGGAGCGTAACAATTGCAAAACGTATTTGAATTGATAATTTAAGGTTGTGATATAGGTTAATGAAACCCTCTATGTTACTAAGGTGTTAGTATAATTTGACTTTGGATATAATTAACATTGATAGTTGGCAAGGCTTGAAAATTTATATGAATATTTTGATTACTTCGATCTACGAATAATTATTTATTCGTAAACTTCGATATTGAAATCTTTTGACAATGAAATATTACAAAATTATGTTAAGATTTGTTTATTTCCACATTTTTGTCTTTATTTGTGTTAAATCCGTCATTGAAACGTCATTTTAGATGGCGCCCCAGGAGCTTCAAAAGGGGTGTCGAAGTTTGAGTATTTCAATGCCAAAAGTGGGAAGTTTTGGGAAGTCGTCGTGGCCTAAGGGATAAGACGTCCGGTGCATTTGTGTTGAGCGATGCACCGGTGTTCGAATCCCAGGCGGGTACAAATTTTTCTAATGAAATACGTACTTAACAAATGTTCACGATTGACTTCCACGGTGAAGGAATAACATCGTGTAATAAAAATCAAACCCGCAAAATTATAATTTGCGTAATTACTGGTGGTTGGACTTCATGTGATTCCGCACGGGTAGGTACCACCGCCCTCCCTATTTCTGCCGTGAAGCAGTAACGCGTTTCGGTTTGAAGGGTGGGGTAGCCGTTGTAACTATACTGAGACCTTAGAACTTATATATCAAGGTGGGTGGCGCATTTACGTCGTAGATGTCTATGGGCTCCAGTAACCACTTAACACCAGGTGGGCTATGAGCTCGTCCACAAAAAATCCATCTAAGCAATAAAAAAAAAACTTTCAGCAAGCGGCTGTCATCGCTCGATCAACAACAGCGATGATTTCGATGTTGTAACGAAGATTCCACACTGGCAACAAAAGTTAAATTAGTGCGAGGTTTTGTTTGTTTTTATTTGTTTGTTGTATTCACAATTTAGCATGACCGAGATTCTCATTGTATTTTAAATTATCATCAAAGTTAAGCTTAGAAATGATTTCGTAAATCTTTAAAATTGTCATCCTCATTATAGAGACAATAAAATTGATGTTCTACAATGATAATGGCTGTTCTGAATTTTCAATGCCTAAATTCGCATTGTCCACGGCCAGGGGTAGAGTTACACTTGCGTAAAACTTGTGAAAGACTGTCGATGGTGGTTGCAAAATTTAAAATGTTTAACTAGAATTCCTAAACGATTAGATCACTTCATTCTCTTAAAATTACATTCTCTTTGTTTCATTATTTCAACATTTTATTTTAATTACCAGCCCATGGAATACGAACTTTAACCTAGTTTAAGTGTTCAATTAACTATTACTTTTATTTTGTGTATATAATATTTTAAAATCTTATATTCAAATATTATATTGAACATCATACTAACGAAATTTTCGAGAATACGTCTATTAACTACTATTATAAAATTTACGTACAGAATACATAGTTTCTTCTCATAGCATTACTAAAATATATAAAAGAGGGAAAGGTAATGATAATTGCATACGTGACCTACATTTTATATAAAATAAAACATTTTGTAGACGATGTGCAAATGTGATGTGTAAGTAAGTGCAATCATATGTATTCTGTTTATACATAATGTTTCAATCAACAGCACCTGGCGCTACGCCCCGAGTGGTGTAGCACCCTTAATAAGTCTACGAATTCGTAGCACTTCTCACTTTGTTTTTAATATCTACGAATATACCGGATTAACATGTTTTTTTTTCGCATACGTTATCGTATGCTGCTTTATTATCTATTCATTACAGTTTAAATGACCTTATTTTATTTTAGAAAGTCAACGAAAGTGAAAACCCGTGCTCTATCGTACCTCATTTATTTGTGTAGAGAAATTGTAAGGAATATGATGAACTTAATTTAGATTTGTTTTGTTAAAAAGAAAAAGTCATTATTAGTTGTAAAAAATTACGATTCGATTAAAGATTTAATAATGAACAGAATTAATATTCAAGTGCTTAATATATCTATTTGTACGAAAAGATGTTGATTTGAAGTTTACGGTTCGTTTTTATTCTAATTCTGTTTTGTCTTTAATATGGCTTTTCGCAGCTTTACTGTGATCATGGTAGACTTGACACAATGTAGGGACGAATAAAATTAACTATATTTAATAATGGCTACAGCTCTTAAATTTTCATAATTATGTGCCTGTTGACTATATACTATATAACGACTTTAGAAATATAATTAAATAGCTAGTATATATTTTTAATTATAATAATTTATTTTTATTGATCAGCAGCTTTGACGAGATAATGATTAGATCTCAACTCGACTATAGTCTTTCTGATCCACAGGAACTAGAAAGAAACACAAACCAATCAGAACTGAACACCATAGCCACATACTACTTCGACGGACAAGGCAAGGCACTCAGACCGATGGTTGCGATTTTAATGGCCAGGGCTGTCAACTACCACGTTTACGGAGAGAACAGGTCAGTTTCATTAGTGTTCATTGAACATCGAAATTCTATTTACGTATACAGCGAGACCAACTAAATATGAATGTAAATTTAAAATGACTGAAATGTGGCACTTATACAACATTAGCGATTTATTTTTTTATTTTTTTATGTGACAATTTCTTTTTTTAATCATTTAAATAAATTGTAAAATGTGAAGTCATACGTCTTTGAAGTGTAATCTCTATCACGATCACGTGATCCGGCGGTAAACAACGAACTGAGAACTGAGAAGTCATACGGCATACTAAGAAAGTGAAGAAAGTTTTACAAGCTCCGGGTCAAGCCACTGTTTCCTACATAACCACAACTATAACTTTAAAAAAAAACCTCATGATTATAAAAATTGTTTCGATTGACTTAGCTTTTATTATTATTTTCAAATATTTAAGAGATTTGCTTAATTAATTTTCCGTAATGTACACTTTTATAGCGATTTAACCTTTCGTTCGTTGATTCAATGAACTCATTGCCTAATTTACTGTTTGCCAACGATTTTGGATTGCGTACTGTCATCACACCGCGTTTACATAGTTCAATGTCTGAACGGAGGCCTTGAACGAATGTATACTTACTTTGTCAACTATCAGGCCGTCTGTTTCTCGATCGAAAGAAAGTGAAAGTTTCAAAACAAGTGCTAATGTCGGTTGAGATCCCAAAGATTATAGTCAACTCACTCAAAATTAAGTAACCCTGTACAGTCTTCATAATTGACCAATTCTATATTTAGAATTGAATGTTGGATGACTTCTATTGTATGTACACGCAACCTAAACATTTTTATTCATAAATAGGCACACTGTTTATCGACTCTATATTTGACTTTGTAAAATATTTTTGATCACTTCTGGGTTTTACACGCAATGACGTTCTGTTTGACAAATTTAACCACTCAAGGAAAACCCACTAGAAATGTTAGCATGAAATAAATCCTGTTTCAATAAATGCGAGCGCTTTGATTGTAAAACACGTAGTAGTACTTGGACATGCAGTGATAAACTCCAGCATGCTAGGAATTCCAAATTGGTTCCAGAAAAAATGTAAAGGAAACATAAATTATTATGTTCTATGTGTATTTTTTGACGGTTGGAAATAAAGCTGGAGCACACGACCCACCTTGTATTAACCGGTTATTTTTAGATATTTAAGATGTAAGGTGCAATAGTTTACGTACACGCATCCGTTTTTTATTTCTTTTGCAAATGGGTATTAAATAAGGTTTAGATAATTGTATGTTTATATTTTTGATCTATGTAGGTTTATTTTATTTTATTTTATACGTTTAATTACTATGAATATTGTTTCTTTTTTGAGTGCTGTCTACGCTTGTAATAGTATCGCACTTAGTCTTTTAAAAGATTCTTATTATTTATTTTATAGTCCTTTATGAAAATGCCAATGGTGTTTCTATGACGTAAACAAATAAAGTCTGAAGCACATTCCAATAAAGGTTGTTGTATCCTTCAGACCTAGTTAGGTCGACTGGTGAGTGGTTTGTGACTCTGATTACTACATCACGGGGTCCGCTTCGATTTCCGGTAATAGACGGTGTCTTTGTGAAAGATCTTTTGTTTTTGATGTACATGTTGTTAACGCGTATGCGCTTCCGGCACACGTAACAAATGAGAAAACGCTAACTGCCTTTGAAAAGTACATGCTAATTTTTTTTTTAAACGGTTTACAGGATTGTGCCTCCACAATGATAAAATTTTATAATCATTTAAACTGTTACATTAAAAAATAGTGTAATAACAGCTTGGAGAATATTTAGAGAACTTATTTATTATTGTACGTAGATTAGCCATGTACTAATTAGATATTTCTTAAGAAGATCAGGCACGTATGTAGAATAATCAAATCGAACAACGAAATATCTTTTGCTCCATCTCATCGGTTGCGCATGCATCCAAGGTTAATTCAAACTAGCAACTTTTTAGTGTTCGTTTTCTTATTAATTCTATATAAAACTTTCAAAGCAATAAAAATTTTGTTCAAAATAATAATGTACTCTATATATTTTTTTAATGTAAAACTAGTTGAAGTTACCCTCATCGGATTGATTACAAAGATTGTGAAACGAAACGCATTTTATGAAAATAATATTACATGAGAATAGTCAAGCTTTCTTTTACAATTACCATTCGATTTGAATATTTTTAGTTGCCAGACATTATTATGTTCCATAGATAAACAGAACGTTTTCAAGATTAGAATTTGCACGAAATAAATAAAATTTTAAATACTTATAAGAGGAGATAGTGTAATTATTTTATTTAAAGCATCCCGCTCTATTGTTATTTGCTATATGTTAACAATAAAACGAAAATAGATCCACGAAATCGATAGATTCAATCACGGTTGTTGTGCTCCAACAATGTTGATTATATCTTAAACAATAATCGATTGTAACCAACCTGTTGCTGTTCTATTTTGTATGTAATTGACTTGTTTCCCTGCTTCTTAAAGCAAGGACTGAGTTTGTACGTAATCCAAATCGTCTTCAATGTAAGTGATCTTCTAATGTGCAGCAGTGCTCGATGACGATCTACCCTCAAATATGTTAAATTAAAACAGTTTGAGGGTAATCTAGGAATAATTAATAATGCTTAAAGTTGGACTTTTTGGACGCGAGGAGTGAAGTTGTGTAATTTGTTTTATTTTATCTATTTAGTGTTTCTTCAGGCTTAAATGTGTAATAACGGTGGTTTATTAACTGTTTGATGTCTGTGAAAGTGCACAAATGTGGGAAAATGAAACAAAGCCGCTGGACGTAACTTCTCGGGATCCTCCAAAAAGTCCACTGAAAAAATCTCAATAAATCACCAGCATTTTACTGTGATTATATTTCATACCACATTATTTCATCTCATTTCATTTGATTTCATCCCAGTTGATTAATGTCTCAAATTAATCATCTTCATAAAAATAAGAATATAAATTAAAATAAGACATGCCTTAAAGGTCTTAGTTACCAGGTCATAAAATCCCTTAAAAAAATGTTTAAAGTTACAGAATGTCATTATTTACAGCAGTCGGTATTTTTCTGTAATCATTACGTGTCCAGTATAATTGCTGAATAAATTAGATTAGCATCTTAGTTATGTAAATGTATTTTTGTTATTGTAATGCAGTGCACTGCTACCGTCGCAGCGACAAGTGGCGATGATCAGTGAGATGATCCACTCGGCGTCTCTGATCCACGATGATGTCATCGACCAAAGCGACTTCCGTCGCGGGAAACCCTCCGTCAACGTGCTCTGGAATCACAAAAAGGTATGTATCGATACTTTATTACATAAATAGTTCGTAAAATAGCCATGCGATGAATATCTTCGTATTGCATGATGCATGTCGCAAGGATGCTGTCATCATAATATACGTACTAGGATGCATTTTAATATTTATTTATTTTTTTATTTATTGTTGGGTGAACGGGATCACGACCCACCTGGTGTTAAGTGGTCACGGGAGCCCATAAACATTCTTGAGACATGAGTTCTAAGTCCCAGTTTTTCAGTACAACGGTTGGCCCGCCCTTCAAACCGAAACGCATTACTGCTGCTGTAAGGCAGAAATGACGTATAAATTAAACTGTAAAAAATAAAGTTTTTGTACTATTTATATTAAGATTATAAATATAATAGTTTAATAAATATGCTACGGTCTGATTAAATTCAATATAATGTAATATGAATTCGTCCCTTCTTGATTTGCAAACGTACATATTGTTGGCATGTAAACATTGTGCGATTTCGGAATACAAAATACACGTGTTGAAACAATCTAATATTTCAATTATTGATGGGCTTCCAAGTAATTATATTCTAAAAGTGTTTGTTTTACAATATAGGTATTGGCATTCATTAGTACATAACCGTGTGTTACGTGTTTTAAATTGGAATTCTTAAAATAAACAATGGATCTGTAATGAATTACTAATGTCGCGGTGTGTAGTTATTTACTTACTGTAATCGAAAGAATTATGTAACAACTCATACATAAATGTGGTATCTCACTGATAAAAAGGAAAGGTAATTTGGACTGTTTGTTTTTTAACGATTGCGTTCGAATTAAATAAGTAAACAATTACTGCCTGTTTGTTAGCGTCAATGGGTATATGAGCTCGTCGCTTGGTCTCTCGCAACGTGATTCTCGTCGCCCGATCTTGTGACACTAGGTCGAAGTTTCACTTGATTTGGATTAACAGATATTCTATTTTCAAACCGGAATGTACGACTGCTTGGAAACGGATAGAAACGGATCTGAACTCGAACTGACACCGAACAGTAGAAATTTCTAGACCTAGACGTCCTTCAGTACTCAACACCAACGAATATGGAGGGCAAATCAAATATTAAGTGGCTCTAACTTGCGTGTTTACCATCTGAGGACATTATTTCGATAAATTTATACATTTTATTCCTAGATATGGTACCTGACCATAATGTATTTTAATTTCAAAATTAACTATTCACTACGCACAGTATACATCGAAATTTTGGTATTTTTATCTGTGTTCTTATTAAACACGATTAAAATAACTGAAATTCATCAAGGTTTTTGCTTTCAATTTTTTGTCACTATTTGCATTGGCGTCGAATGATTTATTTCGCGTTTTGTGTATTCGTCAATGAAGTCGAGTAGAATACTAAATAGGGATTTTTATAGATTTGTACAGCTTATGACAACTTTAATCACGTGTCTAAATAAATTGTAGAGCACGTGATTTGATTCATAATATTCAATTCATAGATTGAATGTAAAAAAATGTTAAGTATTTACTCTATGAAGGCATACGTTTAGTCTTTATTGGGTTACTGTTTCAGAAGCTTAGATTTTATTATACATTTTATAGTCCCGCAATTTTGCGTGGTGATCATCATTTTGTAAGGAATGCGATAAACGTTGGTTATCGATCAAGGAGTGTCCAAGGTTGGAGCAATATTTTTATCAGGAAATTATATTTGTGACTTGAATATTTCTAAAGGTATTTATATAAATATAAAGATTTGTATGCGTACTACGAGGAAACGGAACAAAATCGTTAGATATCGGGTTCTCCCAAAAGAGTACAGTAAATTATTTCCCTTTTTGAGGTCGTCGTGGCCTAAAGGATAAGACGTCCGGTACATTCGTATGTAGCGATGCTCATACAACCGGTGTTCGAATCCCGCAGGCGGGTACCAATTTTTCTAATGAAATACGTATTTAACAAATGTTCACGATTGACTTCCGCGGTGAAGGAATAACATCGTGTAATAAAAATCAAACCCGCGAAATTATAATTTGCGTAATCACTGGTGGTAGGACCTCTTGTGAGTCCGCACGGGTAGGTACCACCACCCCGCCTATTTCTGCCGTGAAGCAGTAATGCGTTTCGGTTTGAAGGGTGGGGTAGCCGTTGTAACTATACTGAGACCTTAGAACTTATAGCTCAAGGTGGGTGGCGCATTTACGTTGTGGATGTCTATGGGCTTCCGTAACCACTTGACACCAGGTGGGCTGTGAGCTCGTCCACCCATCTAAGCAATAAAAAAAAAATACAGACAGAGTTATTTAAATTACAACTACATTGTATTATAATTGAATGTGTCGATTGATATGTAGATGTCGTCGCTTAATCACTAGTCGAATTGAAAGCGCAAATAGGTTATTCAAATATGAGGAGCGGCATCGCTATCTGTAGACTTGTTGCTAAGACCCGAATTTTTTTTCCGTTCAGTTACGTGATCAGGAAATTAATTTTACTGTTTTATTGGTAAATGAATTATCGTTTGAACGTATTTTAGGTTGTAATTTTAAATGAGTATTTGACTATAGTTTTTCGAATAATATTATATACTAACGGCCGTCTGGTGTAGTGGTAAGTGACATGGTCACTACACAAGGGGGTCGCGGGTTCGAATCCCGCCAAGGGAAGATATTTGTATGATAAATATAAATGTCTTTTCCAGGGTTATGGATGTATATTAAATATATGTATGTGTATAATAAAAATCTTACATTTATTTCCGTTATCTGGTACCTGTAACACAAGTTCTTTACGAACTTATCACGGGACCAGTTAACGTGGCGTGATTGTTAGTAAATATTTATATTATATTATATATCTAGTGAACGCGTTGTTTGTTAATTTAGCGTTTTTTTTTTAGCATTTCGTTTGAGTTTCAATTTCAGTCGCCTATCTCGGTCAAGATCACGACTTTCATTATTTAGTACGTTGCTCATTCAAGTTTAAAGATTTCCTTAAGAACAACGTGCTTTCTTAAAACGTTTGTTGCGCTAAAACGCGAAAACATTTCTTGTTTCGACTCGTTTGATTTATAAAGAACAGTTTAAAATTTCAAAACTTTGCTGAATTTTTTTTGGAAGAAGATAATAGGTAAAGAGTATTCGGTTATCAAACCTAATATAGAAGCGTACAACCTCGGCATTCAAAGAAATGATACAGTAAGGTTGTTACCTCTAAATTTATTATAGTTTTTTGGTAATTTCGAGTCACTGGTAAAGTAAGATTACGTTTTATCCTAGTATTCTACGAACTTCATTCTTCTGAAGCAGAAGTATAAAATATAATTAATATTAAATAATTTCTATACCATTGTGACTTTTACCACATGTCTTAAGGTTGACGGGGGCATTCATCTTGTGCTGTCCATGGGCCTCAATAATAGCTTAACAACCGATGACCCATGAGCTGGTCTACCCATCCACGATAATAAATATATAAAACTAATGCACATATTAGCTTTGGCCGCGTCCGTCCATTTATTGAACAAATGTTTAACTGTCGGGTTTTACGTTCGCTTCATTCAATTTCATTTTTATTTAACTTTGCAATTACATAAATAGTGAATTCGCTTCACGTTGCGAATCACTGACGGACTGTTGTTAACTTTGATTTTGAAATGTAGATACTTGTCTGTATTTGTTAAAAGTAGAAGTTAAGCCGTAAAAATTTAGAATTCAAATTAACGTATATGAACAGTGAATTTATGGTCTGTCTCAATTTTATCAAGCACGGTAACCGAATATGAGATATGAGATATAAGTGTCAATTTAATAGGAGAACTACGTGGTGTATAAGGGGAGAACAGTGGTAGAGTCGACCCGTGCAAGCACATTGATCACCTCATTGGTCTAATGATTAATGACCCTACCTTTCGACTAATTCACAGTCCACTTTTCACGATACCACAAAGCAGGCATCCCCTTGAAACCCAGATCAGAACGCACGAATGCTCCAGAAGTACATACTCAGGCTGTTATATGGCCGGAGATATGTCATCATTGTAGAATCCTCTATAAAAACTATGCTACTGATCTTTCCGACACAAAATAATAGTAAATCTCAGCTTGGAAGATAGAACGATTAACATTGCACCTTGACAACAAAACATAAGATAGAAATTAAAGGGAGATTTGGTGTTACAAATAGTAAGTAGATTGTGGTAGCCTTTGTCATATACCTGTGTCTTATGATTGGAAGCCGGAAACACTATAAGATAAAATATTCTTTTTCCAATCAAATCATCCAGGTGTTTTGATTACATGGTTTTAAGTAATTGCTTAATATTACATTCTAAGAATACAACTGGTGGTTTTGGTTTTACTGGTGGTAGGACCTCTTGTGAGTCCGCACGGTTAGGTACCACCACCCTGCCTATTTCTGCCGTGAAGCAGTAATGCGTTTCGGTCTGAAGGGTGGGGCAGCCGTTGTATACAATACTGATACCTTAGAACTTATACCTTAAGACGGGTGGGGCGTTTACGTTGTAGATGTCTATGGGTTCTAGTAACCACTTAACACCAGGTGGGCTGTGAGTTCGACCACCCATCTCAGCAATAAAAAAAAATTACAAATATTTGTTTTAAGACTACATCTCCTTTGGATGTTAGAGTGCGTTTGGGGCGATGTATCGAATTATAGGTTAATTACCTTACGCGGCTAAATAAAGCTGATACGCCGATTACAGTCGGATGTGGTACAACACACTCGCTCGTGAACAATCGGACGGTCCTCGGTGAAAGTTCCCCGGGGCCTACACGTACTCTGTCTTTTTTAATCTTATCTCATGCTTCCTAAATTGAAAAATAAATTGATGTTTAAACTACACTTGTTGTGTATTATCCTGACAAAAACTTTCTGTTAAACTCCGCCACGTGAACTTTTATGGGCTATAATAATATGTTTTTTTTTTGCGTTGATACGGAAATGGGTACACTTGTTTTACGATTGGACACGGTATGTTTCTGTATAATAGTGTACCTTA